ACCCAGCCGCTCCTACAGCCGCCGCCGGCAGCGGAATGGAAACCGCCTCGGGGCTTCGCTTGGATCCAGCTGGCGCTCATGAACAACGTGTTCCCCAACGCCTTTGACGGGACCATCATGGCGGCAACGTACGCCGTCATCAGCTCCGAGTTTGGCGCGGCCAACAGCGCGTCGTGGCTGACGACGGCGTACCTCATCGCGTCGACGGCCGTGCAGCCGCTGTACGGCCGCGTGTCCGACATCCTCGGCCGCCGGGCGTGCTTCTTCGCGTCCACGGTGCTCTTCGCCGCCGGGAGCGCCGGCTGCGGGCTCTCGGGGCGCATGGCGACGCTCATCGCCATGCGCGCCCTGACGGGCGTCGGCGGCGGCGGGCTGCACATCATGGCCACCATTGTCAACTCGGACCTCGTCCCCTTCCGCAGGCGCGGCATGTACCAGGCCATGCAGAATGGCGTCTTTGGGCTCGGCGCCGTCTGCGGCGCCTCGCTCGGCGGCACCATAGCCGACCGGATCGGCTGGAGGTGGTGCTTTCTCCTCCAGGTGCCCGTGTCCGTGTTTGCCCTGGCTGTCGGCGGCCTCGTCGTCAGGGACCAGCCCTCCGAGATGCTGCTTTCCCTCGACGAGGGACTGCACGTCATGTGGAAGCGCATCGACTTTTCCGGCGCCTTGCTTCTCGTCGCCGCCGTTTCCACGCAGCTGCTCGGCCTGGGCTTGGGGGGCAATTTGCTCCCCTGGGGCAGCCCGTGGGTCGTCGGCTCGCTGGTCGGAAGCTTGCTGCTCTTTGCGTCGTTTGTGCTGGTTGAGGGCAGGACATCTGCGCCTCCCATGATTCCTCTTCGGATGTTGAAGGGCCGGCTGCCCGTCGCGACGCAGATATCGAATGCGTGTGCCGGATGCGCCGCCTATGGAGTGAGAGAGAGCCACAATGTACTGTTTTTCTTGACCGCAGTTGCTGATGAATTCTCGGGCAGTTTCTGTTCATGGTCCCCCTCTTCTTCCAGGTTGTCCTGTTGGAATCGGCGTCCAAGGCCGGGGCCCGTCTGGTCATCCCCTCGCTGGCAACGCCCATCGGCTCCGTGATGGCCGGAGTCGTCATGTCCCGGTACGGCAAGCTTATTGCCATGATGAGAATAGGCTCCGTTTTAATGGCTGTGGGAAACGCCCTCGTCTTCTCTTTGCGATTTGTCGACTCGGGTTGGAAATACTTTGCCTACATCTTCCCGGCTAATCTTGGTCAAGGCGTGGTCTATCCGTCTATATTATTCACCTCGCTGGCCTCGTTTGAGCACCAAGGTATCTCAGCGACCTTGTAAAAAAAAAATTGCGTATCTGGACTTCTCTGATTCCCAACCCCATATAGACCACGCCGTTGCTACATCTACCGTGTACCTGATTCGCTCGCTCGGTGGCGTTTGGGGAGTGTCAGTCACTTCTGCCATCGTGCAAACTTCGCTCAGCGCTCGTCTTCCGGGCGCTTTGAGCGGGATCCCAGATAAATGGAGAGTACGCCCTTTTCTCTAAGACAACCCTTTATTTCTTCCTGTGGCCAAAAGATGTTCCAAAGCTAACGTACCTTTTTCCTTCTTCTTCACAAATAGATCATCGACCAGATACGACATTCAGCTTCTAGTATTCACACGCTTCCACCGGAAATTCAACTGCGGGTCCGTCTGGTTTACTACGATGGAATCCGTTATGCATTCGCCGCATGTACTACAATTGCTGTTATTGGCGTAGCAGCAGCATTTGTGGCCACGGCTTCCAAGTTACGAAGCACCCATTAGTCGCCGGCCAAGGTGGACGAATAAAGTAAATCAACAGCTTACTTTCTTTTTTCAGGTCCGCTAGATGGGATGATACCTATGGAAAGAGGGCATTAGAGTGATGTGCGAAGTTTGTGTAGCTCATTGCGTGGAGTATCCAAGAAAAAAGTAGAAGCATAGATAGATTAAAAATAGTTTGGATATATTGAGGTTGATACTTTCATATTGCAGCTCGGCTTATAATTCACTCTGGCGACGATAGTCCACAGCTTCATGTTATCAACCGCAAGCCTACCTTCTTGCTCTCGGCCAGCTCCTGGTACAGCTTCGCAGAGTCTTTATTCAACCTGGGAATCTTCACCGTGACATTGTAGAGATAACCGCCGGCTTCCTTTGCTGTGCCGATCATCGCCTTGAGGAGGTCTTCTTGGCTTTTGAGTCTACCAACCTCTCGCTTGTACACTTTGATCAGGGCCCAAAGTATCGAGAGCAGCGCTTCTTCGTCTTCACCCGATTGAGACTTCACCAACTCAGTAAGGTCCTTGATGTTCAATAGATGGCAGATAAGCATGCTGAAGTCGCTTTCCAGCTGCTTTCCATCAACAAGGAGCGTATTCAGCTGCATAGCGGCCTTGCTTGCCTGCTCGGCAAAGAGTTGCAGCAGCTTGGTCGCCTTCTTTTCCCTGTCGCCAACGATGGCGGTAGACAAGACATGACCGAAGTGTTGCAAGGTAGAAACCACCCCAGCGTCCCCGACAGCGGGTGCCGGGATGACTGCCCACGCAATCATTGACTGCTGGTGACGGATGGCGGACAAGATAAGGTAATTCATGTGCTGGACCTTGTTCACTGTCCGTGAGGCCAGGTTGTTCCATTCGATCAACCTGTCGACTATTCTGTTGGAAACGATCTGGAACTGTTGCATTTCTTTGACGAGGTGGTTTCGCCCCCCTAGCTCTGAGTACTTCACCCCCAATGGTCAAGTCCGTCATGGTCGTTTCGCCATTTTGGATTTCAGTTGGGGGGTGGTCGTACTTGCTGACCAGATTGCAGACGGAAACCCAGTGGTCCTGAGACTGGAAAATTCGCTGAATAGGTCAACAGGGGGAGAAGCAGGCATCCTATCAACCGGCCGATCAAGGCCACAGCCAGAAACACGACGATGAGAGGTAGGCTTGTTACCTTCAGCTGTCGTCCTCTGTCCACATTTGGGGTGTTTCGGAGGGTTGTGAGCGTGGTTGACTAACAGGTTTCGACGCAATATGCAAGGCCGGCTCTGGTCCTGGGTCGGGGGTATCGTGTGACATCGTCGCCCGAATGTGCCGACGCGAAATTGCGATACCGCCCGGGAGCATGATATTTGATGAGTCTATAGGATTGACACGTGACGGAAGTGAGCCAACGTTGCGATTGATGACCAAAGTCTAAGATGCCCTGAAAGTGCAAGTTGATTGTCTGTTCCTAGTTTTGGTTTTCCAGGGGAAAGTCTTACTACTTATACCTGTTAGTTAATAGTCAAACCTTCCAGTGAGGACCCCTGATGAGGACTCCTGTATTCTGTATTCTGTATGTATGCGATGCTGTTTGTTGTGTGGTGGAGTCTGGTTTATAGTCACAGATCACAATTGTCTACAGCAAGATGACGGCAAATGACCAACCGAAATGAATGGCGTGTTCATTAACGACAAGGCCATTCACAAGGCGCAACAGCAGATGTTGGCGTCTTCACAACCGAGGCAGACAACTTCCACGCTGCGCCATCGCCTTCGAGACTGCCCAACATATTGATATCCGCAGGCGTCATCCAAGTACAACAGCTGAAACAATTAGGTTTGATGCCGTGCGGGAAGTCTGTTGACAGCTGCGGCTAGGATTACAAGCCAAAGTGGCATCTGGGTGCCCAAATTATCGCTGCAAGAGTCAATAAGGTGGGATAGGGCACGAGCAACAGTGAAATGCGACGTGCAATTCAGTAGAAGGGCAACGCTATTAGATGCTCGTTCCGCGGGATATGGCCATCCATGATGCATTGTAAAATATACGCTATCGCCATCTGTCGCCCGGTGACATTTTCATACCAAGCAGCGTTTCGATCATAAATGAAGCATTGATCAAACTCGGTGCTAAAAGAATATACGATTTGCCGAGATGCAACCAACCTATTCTGAACGAGTTCGTTTCAATGATGAGTGACCATCTTCATCGCGCCGCTTTCTTTTCCCATTTAGTCGCGAGCTATCCCTACAATGATCGGCACTCCCAATCGTCGTATTAGATGCCATGTTGCAGTTGTGTGATGTATTTTCTGGGGTCACTTTCGAGCTTTGGTGATTTGGAGATGAATTCGGGGAGGGCAATGCTTCTAGGCTCTTTTCGGTATTTGAGCCATCGCTTTCGATTCCATCCAAGTGACTCTCTGGTTTCGTCCCCTGGGTATCATTATCGACGGGCTCACTATGCGCTATGGTTTCCCTCTTAGCATGGGAGGGACATGATGACCGATGTTTGGGTATGCTTGGTCCCAATGATGTGTGCGAGGGTGACGTTTCAGCGACACTGGTTCTTGGTGTATCAGATGGAAGCGGCTCTTCAATAGTCGATGACGTAGGTGATATCAACGACGTTTCTCGAGGGCTTCTTTTCCTCGCAGATGGTGATGGTAGCAACGATGCATCCCCCAACTCCTGAACATCTCTGCTGCCATGCCCTAGATACCACTCATCGCTCGAATCATCATCAATGATGCCATATTCTGCGGGCAAGTACTGTGTTTCCGGCGCAAAATCGCTCTCCTCATCCCCATTACTATCCGTTTCGTCGTTCCCTCCCAACTCGACGTGTGGATTATTCTGGAGGTCGTCCGGCCCACCTTGACGAGAATACACCATTTTGCATATGGCTTCGACCATGGCTTGCAGGCTGCTTGATACGCAGGCGCTGTGTACGTAGGCGGCAGTGTCTGTTGACAAGGAAGTTTGAGTCGGGTCGTGGCTGTCGCAATAGATACGATGCATCAATGAGTAAAGGACTTTGAGCTGTTGATCAACCACGTTTTCTGCCCTTTGGCACAGATCGTCGCCGTCCTTGGCCACTCTGGCTTCTGCGATGGCTAGCCGGCAAAAGGATCGGACATCTAGGATGGGAATATGGATCATGTTGTATCTGGTATACAGGCTGCGAAGATCGCGAGTCCTAGAACCGGTAAGTTGCATCCATTGCAGTCGCAGATCTTGGGGAATGTCAGGTATATCGAAGGGAGACATTTTGGGTCGCTGCTTTGGCATTCCTTGATGGATGTAGGAGGATGACGGCAAAGCGCCTGGGGCAGTGAGTGCATGTCACCGTAAATGCCATGGGCCATGGCGCGGTCCACGACTGCTTAGTCACTCACAACACCGAGTCACCGACAATAGCGGGCAGCACGCTGGCGCCGACGTCAAGCTGCAGGTGCCTCTGTCACTTTCTGCCTGGATTGTTCGTTGACAGCGGCTCGCTGAGCACCAGATGCGAGCCAGTCGAGGCCAGGATGTCGCTGCCCGATGAAACAAGGGACGGTCTGGCACGGGTTCTCAATGGATGCCCAAGTATCTTGTACATCTAGTGCGACAGAATCTATTATCTACCCAGATCAGGTACCTGGCTATCAACCGCTACAGTCTAATATACTAACTCCAGAAAATTAATGTTTACGTCTCGGGGGGCAAATATATTCTGCCACAAACTGTCGAAATCTCTACCATAAACACTCTGAAATTCGCAACGCAATTCTGTCCAACTTCTAGTATTTAGTATGTCGGCCAGTGAAGGCAGCTCAACTCGTCCCTTTACAGATCTTGAACAAGAGCATCGGAAACGCTTTCATGGCTGCGATGAATGCCAAGGAGTAGTTACGCCATTGCATGAGCAGCCAAAGATTGGAACCGAATTGGCCCGGAGGGCGGTAACAACGCCGGCCGAGCTTGAAGTGGACGAGTTAGTCGATGCTTTCAACAGAGCGTCAGTCGAGTCATTGCCCGACGCTCGTCTTGTTATCGCCAGGCCTCCGCTGCAAAATGCTGGTCCATTTGAATCTGCCGGGATCAAGCTCCCCCATACCGTCGGCGGTTGGGACGTGATAGTGGTTGAGCAACGAATGACTGACGCCGATTTTCTTATATCCCTCCCTTTCTATGATCCTCCTCAGCAAAATCCCTCTCCACGAATCATCAGAAACAGACTACGGTGTCGTATATGCTATCATCCAAAGAGTGACCATTGTCAGCTAATTAATGAGGCGTACATGGATATCTACGTAACAAAATTGCCCCTCTCGGGCGACGTGCCACAAGAGAGCCGAGAACGCCTCTATTACACAGACAGCCGTCTTCTCTCGCCTGGAATCTGGAGGATCACTGCTGCTGGAAGAGAGGACCAACATCTCGTGGATTTTCTACTTCTGCAAAGGCAATTCGTCGCCTACCCAATCTCGTTTTCGAACAAGCGCCCATTGGACCAAGTTGCATCGTCTGACAGCCAAAAGAGACGGGGAGACGTTGAAATGCAATTTGTCCTTGTGCCTCATGCCGGTGCCGGGAAGCCCTCTCCGGAACCTGCTCCGGTGAAATCAACACCTTCCCCGCACGCGGGGATTATTCAGTCTGGCCAGGCGTCCCTTCTTGAGCTCTGTAGGGGAAATTCGCTAGTTATCCAGGACCTGCACGGCCCCAAGGATTCCCCAGAGAATATGAACACGAGCTCTTACCAAGTCCAATATCGTTGGAAAATTGACGAGACCGTCGGCTCGAAAGTATTTGCCTGTCATCACTCGGCCCTGCCTGGTGATGTTGTTGCCAAGGCACTCGATTACACAAACAAGGCCGCCGGTGGGCCATCATTATACGACTGCGTGAGACATTGGAAGGAGGAAAGAGATGTGCTAGTTGGACTTGACCACGTAAGTGCTGTCTCCAATATTGTAGCAGTACCTCGGCCTCTAATTTGCGCTTGTCAGCCCAACATCATCAAGATTAAATCTTACGACGGCCGTCTCCTCGTGATATACCTAGAGCATCTACCACTTTCTTTACATCGGCAGACGCCAGTGTCTCCTGCAGTGGCTCTTGCTATTCTCGTTGATATATCGTCCGCCTTGAGATATCTCGAAGGAAAAGACGTTGTTCATAATGATGTTAAACCCGCTAATATTGCGTATTCTCCCGAGCGTGGTGGTGTGCTTTTTGACTTTGGAATGGCTACCACCAATGCTAGGAAGCAAGCACGTGGCGGTACTTCGTTATTTCTTCCTCCCGAATACTTGCATGTTCAAAATGAGAAAAGACGCGGCGCCCCGGGAGACATTTGGGCACTGGGCCTTACAATGCTGTTCTCCATTGGGAAGATCAAGTATCCCAAGAAGAGTGAGCGGGTTGCAAATCTGGCCAACCTAGCTGTGAGGGAAAGTGATGACTTTATGAGACTTGAAGCTTGGCATGCAGAGATTGACCTTGTCAGGAAACTCCTAAGCGAACAAGACGACGTGGAGAAGATGATTTATAGAATGTTGGACAGTAATGTCACTACGCGAGTTACGGCCGCAGAGATATTTGCTGCACTCGGACAACAGAGGAGAAATTTGGCTGAGAGACCAAGTACAGGATAGCGACAGGCTCTCAATAGGTAGAATTCGAGCAAGCGCAAGACTGCTTCAGGCATCGGCAATGTGGTCAGTTCCTATGGCCAGAGCATGAGCTCTGCTGGCTGTGGCATTTTCTTCAAATCTGTGTCGCCGCAGTTCATTGGAAATTCGGCAATGCGTCAGCGTGACGCCTCGCTGCCATGTACTGGTTGGCATTGTTCAACGAGATGCTTCGCCCATTTACGTTTCACGCAGGCACAAAGGCCCGGTCGCGACAAAGGCGGAGAGCATCGACCCATGTTCAAGCGGCAATTTCTCTTCACAACCTTTCGCCCTGGCCGCGAGCATCTTACATGTGCGGCTGAATGCTGCTGCCTTTTGGGGGTGTCCGGTCGACAAAACTTGACAACTTAGCCACACAGTGAGAGGTAGCCGTCGCACATTCTTCGGAGCCGATCTGAACATAAACTGATGGCCACGCACACGTTTCGGCGGCGCATGCTCTTCAGTACACGAGCGTTGAAAAATACAACAAAGAAACCGAACCTGTCCGTGGGGTGACGAAGCTCATCACAACTTTCCCCCATAAGCATGATCAGCTTCAGGCCAGACTCAGTTCAACAACTGTAGGCTGCGGCATGGCAGTCATGCTGCAATATATGAAGACGAGATTCCTAGTCCCTTTCGCAGATAGCCTCTTACCCTCAAATGGTCTGTCTCAAATAGCGATTTGAACTTCAACCACCATCAGCTTCGAGCATCCAACCAGCCAACAATCCGCTCATCCCGCAACCGCCAACATGCCCTAAGCCACAAAAGAAGAGATAGAGGCGGGCAATCCCCGCATGGTTGCATACCTCTACAAAGATGTCACCATCCCTGACGGCTTCCTCGCTGGGCCATCCGCTGAGCTCGTCACGATGGAATTCGTCGACTTCGCTGCTTCAAGTATCCCAGAGCACGAAGGCAAGACAGCTGTCGTTATGGACAACGTTCTATCAGAAGCTGAATGTCAGCAATATATGGCGCTGGCAGAGGAGGCAGCACTTTGGGCACCAGCACTGGTCAACGTCGGTAAAGGCTTGGAGTCGTACATCCCAAAACACCGCTTGAGCTTGCGCATCGTCTGGGATCACCAAGGCATGGTGGCCTTGATTTTCAGCCGATGTCTTCAGGTCCCGGAACTCCAGAAGCTCTTGTCCAGACCACCAAAATTAGACGCAACATCAAAGCACGGAGCTGTCAACCCTGAACACTGGGAGCTTGTGGGACTCAACAACCGGATGAGGGTCCTCAAGTATATCAAAGGGGAATACTTTGAGGGGTAAGTTGCATTTCCCAACAAGGCCTTTCCATCATAGAGACTAACGTGGCCAGCACATCGCGATGGGTCATACTCGTTCAGAGACGAGGACGGGACGCTTTACGCTTCCTTCTACTCTATCCATGTGTACATGAACGACTCGACCACGGAATCTCCACCACCAGAGGGAGGTTGTGTGGGAGGCGCGACAGGCTTCTATTCCGAAGACGAGAAGAGGTCCTTTGACATCCAAGCCGTGACGGGGCGCGCTCTCATTTTCCAGCAGAGAGGCCTGCGGCACTCGGGCGAAGTGGTCAAGGAAGGGACATTATGTACCGCTATATCGGCCCTAGATGAAGAGTATGTCATTCATGGTCCCAATGGCCAGGACGACTCGCAGCGTCCTGCAACACATTGGGACTGGGCCAGGGTATCTGTACGATCTTGTCGGCGCAGCAGTTTCTCGATTTTACCAACTTTCTAGCTCAAGATATTTCGATTCTCCATGGCTGACTATTACAACGCGTGATGAAACAGATGTTAAGCCATCACCCTGATAGCTGAATTCAACATGAAGTATTGCATCATACTGTACATTTACACTTGTGCTTTTACTGTGTGATTACGACTTGCAACCTGCGCGGCGCCCATTCCGCTGTTGGCGCCAAACACCACTGTGACTTGTTACAGCCCTTTCGAAACATTTAGTAATGTCTTGTGACTCGTGGTAGATACCGGGGCAACTTGTCATCAAAACCTAATTATCTAATTCGGGACGTGACTCAGCTCGTGTGTCAAATTAGCTACATTAAACTTGGTAGTGCTAAAATAGCTTCTCTTGTTGTCTCAACGCTACGAAATTAACCATCAAAAATGGCATCTATTAGACAAACATCAAATGGACACGGTGTAAATAGCTTTCAATTAAGGGCAAGATTGTTGTCATTGCCATCTTCCTCGTCGAAGCTAGCAACGCCAGCCGGGGCTGTCAGCCGTACCAAGTATACAGATTTCCGACAATACGCCGGCCCCCGTATCTAGTCCTGCAAAGTAAATGTACATTCGTCACTTCATCAAGAGCGGCAAGGCAAGCGTGCTCTACGCTATCTCTGCTTGGGCATCTTCTTCTCCTCCATGGCCTCAACATCCTTCTTCTTGTGAAAGTGCGGCGCCAGCTCGGCCAACCACCTCGGTTCGATAGGAATCACCCCGCGCATGTATTCCTTGGTCGTCTGCACCAGCTCAAAGTATATAATCATCTTTTCAGGGGGGTCGACCGACATGAGCACGCTGCTGGGGTGGATCCACACCGTCGTGTTATTCTTGACGGTGCGATAGCTGTCGCCGCTCTTTTGCAGCCGCGCAGCGTTGGGGAAGAAGCCGGCTGTAATGGCACGCTTGATGGGCCGAAGATTGTTGGCGCCACATGTCGATGGTGACACCTCGACTCGCTCACAAAGCTTCGCCAGCTGATCCCTCACGTCGCGAGCGCGGGTAAGTGACCGCTGTTGCAAAAAGTTTTCGCGTGACCAGACGGGCGAGAAATCGCTGTCGACCCATTGATTCCAAATGTTGAGTAAAGTGACGTGGTCTCCGCCATCCTTGACGGTGAATCTGTTTCTAGCACTGTCGGCGTGGATTTTCTTATCCTTGGGTCGGAAGAATAAGGCGGAAGCCTCGCCGAGCATGGAGACAATGGACAGCACTTCCTCGACACAGCCCTCCTTGTCGGCAGCCAGCACGGCCTTGGCCAGCATGGGGTCGGTGGGAAACTCAGCCATCTGACGGCCCATCTTGGTTAGTTCGCCCTTGTGATTAAGGGCCTGCAGGGCAAACAGCTGATTCAGGGCGCCGATTAGTGCTTCAGTTGGAGGTGGATCCATAAACTCAAAGTCGAGCAGCTCATTGATGCCGAGCGATTTCAGCTGTAGAACAACTCCGTTGAGGTTTGTTCGCTGAATTTCCGGCGTAGTTGACTCATCCATCTCGTTCATGTACGCAAACTTTGTATACAGGCGGAAGCATTTTCCGGGCCCGACACGACCGGCACGCCCACTTCTCTGGTTGGCGGATGCACGAGAGCAGGGTACTGCAACCAAGTTTGACATGCCGGTGGCAGGATTGTAAATGTTTTCTTTCACATATCCAGGGTCAATGACATAGACAATTCCGTCAATAGTCAGACTGGTCTCGGCAATATTGGTGGCAAGAACAACTTTTCTAGCCCCCTCAGGCGTCGGCTCGAAGATTTTGGCTTGTAGATCCGATGGCAGGTTGGCATAAATTGGGCAAATCACCAGTTCCTTTATTCTGCTGCCAAGCTTTTTTGCTGTTTCTGTAATCTCCTGTTCCGCAGCCTCGATCTCATCTTGCCCAGTGAGAAAGATGAGAATGTCGCCCTTGGGCTGCGTCGTATGAATCTGAAAAACGGTTGTAATAGCAGCGGCCAGGTAGTTGGCTTCGGGGGCGGGCGTGTAGTAAATGTCAACAGGGTATCTTCGACCGGGAATATTGAAAATCGGTGCGTCGTCAAAGTAGTTGGCGAATTTCTCCGCATTCATAGTAGCTGAAGAGATGAGAAGCTTAAGGTCCTTTCTTTCCCGTGCTAAATCCTTGACAAGGGCAAGTAAAATGTCAGTGTGCACTGTCCGTTCGTGTGCTTCGTCAATCATCAGTGCTGAATACCCAGCCAGATCTGGCTCTGTCATAAACTCCCTAAGCAGCATGCCATCCGTCATGTACTTGAGAATTGTTTTATCGCTGGTGCAATCCTCAAAACGAATCGAGTAGCCAACTTCGTTTCCAACCTTGACGCCAACTTCCTCCGCCACACGAGCAGCGACACTCATTGCAGCGACTCGACGGGGCTGTGTGCAGCCTACCTTCATGCCATTTTTTGTATACCCAGCTTCGTGTAGGTACTGGGGCAGTTGTGTTGTCTTTCCACTGCCAGTTTCTCCAACAATGACCAATATCTGGTACTGCTCCAATGCAGCCAGAAACTCATCTCGGTATTGGTAGATGGGTAAACTTTTGCGAGTCTCCTGGATAGAAAGGGCTTTCTTCTCGGCGGCGTCAATCTGGGCCTCTAAGAATATTTTTTCCTTCGTCTTGCCCTCGCCGGCCATTCTTGAGTCAAGGCTCCATTGAATATATTGCTGGTCGTCCATAACATAATCATAGTCCTCATTTTCAATCTCTGCTCGCTGGATCTGCGCTTTGGCCTTGGCGGCCTGTTCTCGCTCCCATTCCTCATGCTCGGTGACAAACTTTTCTTGGCCGAATTCATCCCTTTCGACATATCTCTTGTATAGAGCTTCCTCCTTCTTTTTTCTGTCCAGCTTTCCCTTCTCGGTTATATAGTCTTCGGGCATGGAATAACCGTCGCGATGATCATCGATTTTCAATCTCTCTTCGGCCAGACGCAGAATCTCCCTGTTCTTAGCAAACTCGGACTTTTCTTTTTCAGACAGTCTGACACCGCTTCGCAGCTCTGCCGTCTCTTCCGCCACCTGTTTTCGCAGTAGCGCAAGTCGCTCGGTTTCGCGCTTCTTGAGATACTCTTGACGGGATCTTTCTCGGAGATCTGGCAGAGCAGCGTCTCTGGCAGCAGCATCATCTGCCAGTTTCCGTCTTGATGAAGACTCTCCATCTCGCAGGTTCTTTTTAGATCTTTCATCATCCTTTTCCTTTAATCGTTTTGCAAAAGCCTCGCGTTCCTCAATGTCCTTTTGTCTTGCAAGCTCCTCTTTGGCCCCATCTGACAGTTCTGCGTCGTCTTTGTCAGGGTCATCGTGACTCAACTTCACTCGCTTGCTTGCTGATTCCTGGAACTCGGGTTCATTGTCTGGTGCCCGCGCGTCGGGGTCATCGGAAGGAGGTTCCTCATCTGCCCATCGATCGCTAAAATCTCCTCCGTCATTGCGTCGGCGATAGCTTTTGGAGCGACTTGAATGGGAAGAGGGTCGAGGTGAGCCAGAACGACTTCTGTCTCGACGAGACTTGGAGGTCCTGGATGATGGCTTTTCGTACTTGTCGCGATCACGTCGGTGCCGCTGCTTCCTATCTTTTGCGACCTTCTGAGGACCGACCTCATCGTCATCCATAGGGACGAAGGCGTATTTCTTGGAACTCATGATAGGCGAGTGAACCGACGATGAGGCGGCAACGGAACTAGAAGTCACCAGCGAGCACCCAGAGCTCCAGAATTTTGGGACAGGACCGTCAATATGGGTGGGGCTGATCTAGTACTTCCAACCAATAAATTCCTCCCGATGTCTCGCCCCGGTCGAACCAAACTTTCCACGTTTAGGCCGACCAGGGTCCAATCCCATGTTAACACGCTGGTATATTCAGACTGTCTGCCAAATTGCCTACAAAATTGCGGCGGGTGCCAGTTCTCGAGATCCTTCATTTCACACTCTCATTGCACCTTCTTTACCGCTGCCCGCCGGATGCGGTACGTGTAAAGGAATAAATATATTCTTTCAAAACGGACTGGCTTTTTTTCTAGACTCTTTACCCCTTGGTTGGGGCCACGCGCAGTCATGTTGCTTCACGGTTTCGCCCTCCTCGCCTTGCTGGCCCTGATGCAACTTGCGATATGCGCCGAGGACTACTACAAGGTATGCAAATATCCAAGTCTCGTTTGCGATATACAAGACTAACTCGAACAGATTCTTGGTGTCCATAAGCAAGCCACGGACAAGCAACTCAAGACAGCATATAAGAAGCTTGCGGTTCGATTCCATCCCGACAAGCACGGGTACGTTGGCCTACTGCGGCAGAGATTATCTCCTCTTGTAGACATGGCGCTAACCGAAAACCAGTGGAGATGAAGAAGCTCATCGCAGACTTGTCGAGATTTCTGAGGCATACGAAGTCTTGAGCGACGCCGGTCTTCGCGATATTTACGACCGCCACGGCCACGAAGGCGTCCTGCAACACAAGAACGGCGGCCAAGGCGGCGGCGGCTTCCACGACCCCTTTGACCTGTTCAGTCGATTCTTCGGTGGACATGGCCATTTCGGCCATTCCTCCCAAGAACCCCGCGGCCATAACGTCGATGTGAAGATGAAGATTTCTCTTCGCGACTTCTACAATGGTGCCACGACCGAGTTTCAGTGGAACAGGCAGCACATATGCGAGACCTGTGAGGGAACAGGCAGTGCAGACGGCCAAGTCGATACGTGCTCAGTTTGCGGGGGACATGGCGTTCGCATTGTCAAGCAACAGCTCGCTCCAGGCATGTTCCAGCAGATGCAGATGAGATGCGATGCATGTGGAGGTCGTGGCAAGAGCATCAAGAACAAGTGTCCCGTTTGTAATGGTCAGCGAGTCGAGAGAAAGCCAACGACTGTCACTCTCAAGGTTGAACGGGGTGCCGCTCGCGACTCCAAGGTTGTATATGAAAACGAAGCCGACGAGAGCCCCGACTGGGTTGCCGGCGACCTCGTTGTTACTCTTGCGGAAAAGGAACCTGCGCCCGAAGATAACCCCGATAAAGTAGACGGTGTCTACTTTCGCCGCAAAGGCGATGACTTGTACTGGACTGAAGTGCTGTCCCTCCGCGAGGCGTGGATGGGTGGCTGGACGCGCAACATTACTCATCTCGATTCCCATATTGTCCGTCTCGGCCGAACTCGCGGCCAAGTGGTACAGAGCGGCCACGTCGAGACTATCCCCGGCGAAGGCATGCCTAAATGGCACGAGGATGGCGAGAGCCCGGACCACCAACACGAATTCGGGAATCTCTACGTCACATATGAGGTTATTCTCCCAGACCAGATGGATAAAAAGATGGAAAGCGACTTTTGGGATTTGTGGGAAAAGTGGAGGGCAAAAAAGGGCGTCGACTTGCACAAGGATAGTGGGCGACCGGAGTCGCCAATAGCGCGAGATGAGTTATGATGAAGCAATGCAAGTGGAATGTATATATAGACTGGGCATTACTTTGTATTACGTTGGTGAATACGTACTGTGTACAATACACGTCATCCATGTATCCAGTTGTTGCTTGTGCATGGGATCGTCAAGATGTTGATTCATACAGCCCATGACCCTTGGACGGCGCCGGCGAGAGCATGATTTGACGCTAACAAGAATGGTGTTTGTACCTTTGCGACCATTTCCACGAAGACTTGTTGGAGAGAGGTTATGAATTGATTCTCTGGAACCCGCCGATCCCAAGGAGCTCGGAATATTGCACCATGTCATACTTGACAGAGCTTCAGGCCATCAGGTGGTTGAACCACTCACTGTTTACAGGCAACACCGGATGTGCAGCAAAAGATATTTACATCCGTACATGACGGCTGCATCGTCATGACCAAGGCTCCAAAAAAGCTTTCCTCCAGTCCGCCATTCTCCCACGCTAGCATCAACCTAGGACCAACAAGTTGCAATTAGCAAACCGTCAAAGTTATGGTTATTCCCCCACGAGTATCTCTACGTCACTTGGGCTTGGAGGAAGCACGCCATCTGTCTGTCTATCACGAGTTGTAGCCTTGGAATTTGGCTAGCCTGGCCATTCGTCAAGCCGATGCGCCTGAAACTTGTCAAGACTTGACATGATGATGACGACGATTCACACTATTGCCCATGCTTTGCAGTGGTATAAAGGCACGGGCAACGGTTCCTGATGGCCCAGTGTCTCCCCGCTCATTCTCAGCACCATGCCCTATCCTGGGATATTCTGTTCCACGCACAAACCCATCCAACACGGGCTGAAATGCACGCCGCCATAGCAATCGCAGCGCTCCTGAACCTCGCAGCGGCCGACAGCCTCGTCACAGCCTCCCCGGAATCGCGGACCGTGCCGACGGCCAGCGTGACGGTCAGAGAGGCATCGACCAGCGTGACGTTGGACGAGGGCTTCACCGAGCCAGGCCCAGCTCCCGAGACGACGAGTGTGATGCTCGACGAGGGCGCGAGCGTGTCGCTTTCGTCTGCTGAGACGACGAGTGTGGTTCTCACCGAGGATCCGACTGTGTCGATTTCATCTCCCGAGCCGACCACTGTGACGCTGCTCGGCGACAACTTGATCACGCCACCCCCCTCCGCCCAGACAACCATCGTGATACTCAACACGCAACCGACAGCGCCCCCCGCCGACGACGACGACGGCGACGACGACAGGACCGAGCCCGGCAACCCGGCGACGAAGCGAAGCACCACGGTGCCGGTCCTCCACCCCTACGTGCACTACGACTTCGGCATCGGCACGGCGTGGCCGCGCGGCACGACCAAGCCCAAATGCACGCACTGGACGCGGGTGGGCGACACGCACAACCGCTGGACGCAGGACGTGTACACATCGACGACGACGACGACGCTGCTGCACAAGTGCGGGCAGTGCGCCATCGTGTGGACGACGCCGCACAAGGGCTACGCGTGGGCCAAGGTCTACGACACGGTGACGGCCGACTACCCCTTCACCGTGACCGAGGTGGCCTGCCGCGACCCCCCGGACATGGGCGGCTACGTGCTGCCGCCGCACACGCCCACGGACCCCTGGAGCACCAAGACTCAGACGCAGCGCTACCCGTCCACCATCTACGTCACGTACCCGGACAAGGGCCCGTCCACCATCACCCCGGCCGGCGTCACCTCGCCCAGCTGCACCAGCTCCACCATGGTCTACGGCGGCGGCGGCCTGCGCGCCAACAAGCAGCTCAAGTGGAAGTTTTCCACCATGCGCACCGTCACCAAGGACTGCGGCACCTGCGCCCTGGCCTGGTCCACAAACTACTTTTGGCAGAACCTCAAGGGCGACTTTTACCACTACTACACCGTCACCAACGAAATGTACGTGGCCACCACGCTCGAGTGCGGCAAGCCCGTCCCGACTGAGGCCCATGGAGACGGGCCGGTGACGACGACTGCGGTGAGTGGGGATTTCTTTTCTTATATTTTTCCCTTTTTCAAAGACACCTCAATCGTTAAGCCCTTCTTGACAAATCCACACACTGACACCAATCTTGCTCTAGACTACTGCTGCTACTACTAGGACTTCGCCGTAGGGACGTGCCTGGTTCGTGGGGGGAGAAACTCATTAAGCGGCATGTATTTGAGTTCTGTTGGTTATTCTAGCGGCGTATTCATGCAGTTTACAAATTCATCTTCTTAACATCCTCCTCCAGCTTACATGAGACTGAACCACCTCAAAGGAGCCACGTGGGCAACACCCCATCCGACTACATACATGCCGTGCCACGACTAACAACCCCTGCCAACGACTGACCCAGTCTACAAGCAGATAAAAGTAGGATAAATCCCATAGCCCCAGAGTCATGGCAGGCGAAAGAACAAGGCATGTATTTCATTTTTCCCACTAGGCAACAAGACAATGTTAATATACAGCCATATCAACTCAACTGCCCACAACCCAAGTTTCGAAATAAACGTTTAACGCGTCGCATACTCTAAGCTCTTGACTCATAAGCCATAAATTATCCCCGTGAATCCACCAAAAAGAAACAAAGAAAGAAAAGACAAGACAAGAAAAGAGCATCTAAACACGACAAGAAAGAAAGAAAAAAGAAGAGAAAATTGTCAATCACAGAAAAACGTGTCCGTCATTACGTCGTGGCCATCTGTATTTCATCTCCGGGCTCCATGCCTTCTCCACCCATCACCTTCACTATCGTATCCATCGTCATGTCTCCGCCTGCTGCTGCCCAGCTCATCAGCCCCTTGAAGGAGCCCCGACCCCAAAACTTGCCCTATGATGCCCATCCAGCCTTTCTGGCCCTCGAGCGCGCTCGTCACGTTCTTGACCAGTCTGTCCACAGCCTGCTGGTCCGTCCCGCTGACCTGCCATGCTCCCTGCACGTCCCATCCCCCAGGGCGCTGGGGCTCCCGTCTGAAAGTACCCCTTCTTGTCGTCCACCTGTCCTGGCTTGAGGAGCGTCCGTCCAGAGGTCTGCCGTGGGAGTCAAACCGGTCTGGTAGGACCTCGACGTCGTCCGCCGAGTCATCGGACCCCGAGGATTCATCCCTGGACCGCCTGCTGCGCCGCACCAAGGGGCGAGAAGGTGTTGGTTCGGACCATCTTGCACGATTCGAGGCGCGGTGCCTGCGTCTGCCGTGGGCGTCGTCATCGTCCCTGTCTCTTGGACTTGGCTCGTCCGCGCGGTGCGAATCCTCGCCTTCCGAAGCCTCTGCATGCTCCCTCCTATGCCGCTCCATCGTCATGGAGCTCTTCGGGGACAGGGGGATGAATGATACGGATTTTGAGGCGGCTGGCGGCCCGCTGCCCAAGCCAGAGCCATACGGTCTGTTTACACCATCTTTGCCGAATATTTGTTAGTTGGTGTCCTGTCAGTGTTGCTCCCGCAAAGTACGATTCCACGCACCATTTGCTGCATCTCTCGCGGGGCTATCTTGGCTTCGGACTTGATCACTCACATGGTCTGGCGGATGCTTTCCGCCAGTCGGTGGCGGGCCTGCGGGCGGAGGGGGCGGACCCGGTGTGTACTCGGCACCACGGAAGCCGGGCTCCGGAGGGGGAGGAGGACCGGCCGGAGGCGGGGGAGGCGGGGGAGCGTAACCTGTGTAATCTTGCGGCACGTACGGCTGATACTCTCGGTGCAGAGGAGCGCCGCCATTCTGGTCAGGATACGGAGCGCGGTTGGCACCGCTTGCCATGGGGGGCCCATTGGGAGTTGGGGGATAGGGAGGATAGTATGCACCGCCCGATGCTGTAGGAGGCGAGTGTGGGCGCACATGGTCGTCAAAGTAGTCCCTTCGCTGATCCTCGTCACGTCCTTCCAAGGATTGGTCAGTCTCTGTCTTTTGCACCAAAACGACATCTGCTGAAAACTGTACTTGATTCGCCCAGAGAGGGGGGCGCATACTTACTTCTTCTCTCGTCATCCCTCTCCCTGGACCTTCTGTCCCGCTTCTCCTGATCCTTTCTATCCTTTCTGTCCTTGAACTCTTTGATCCCCATGGCAGCAGCGCCGGCCGCAGCTCCTGCGGCGGCCACATCTCTCAATCTACTTCTGCTCCGTTTCCTCTCGTGCTCGTTATCCGACGCGGAGGCTGAGGCGGAGCGGTCGCGTCTTCTGCGTCTGCGTCGGTCGCGACGTTCGTCCTCAGCCTCCGAATCGACATATCGTCGGGCCAGGGCGTCTCGGGACTCGGGATACAAAGGGTCGTTGCCGTACTCAACTAGGCCTAGCTCAGGATCAGCACCAGGCTGCGAATAAGGGGATCGTGCCATCGACCTCGACCTGCTCCGGTGCCTGCTGCCGCTGAGGCTCCTGTGTCTGCTTCTCGAGTCTCGACGGCGGTAGTACTCATCGTCACTGCTTGCACTTGGGTCGCGAGCGTGTTCCTTCTTTTCCTTGTGGCTCTGCCATAGCTTGTTGGCCACGCCGGCGGCGGCGGCAACGCCTCCAATCTCGGCCACCCGTCTAAGTCGGGACTTGCTTCTGGAGCGGCTGCCGTGGCGGGACCTAGACTTGGACTTGTCGCGGAAGTGCTTGATGATTCCGGCTGTGGCGGCGGTTCCTATGGCAGCCTTGGCGGCGGTAGAAATGCTGCGTCGTCGGCTCTTGCTGCGATGAGATGCGCGGGACACGGACCTGGAATAATCGTCGCCAGAGTAGTACCCCCCGCGAGTACGGCTCCGGCCACGGTGCGCCTCTTCCTTGTCGACCTTGCTGGCCTGGTAGTACTTTGCGGCACCGGCAGCGGCCAGAGCGACGGCGGCAACGCCCAAACCCTTTTTGAGAAGGTGATGATGATCGGGAGACTCGCGGCCATCGCCGTACTTGTCTTCATAGGCACTGTGGGCGCGGCGAACAACTTCGGTTCCCAAGGCCCCCAAAGCAGCACCAGCCAAAACCTTGCCGCCACGGTTGTCGGGCAAGTCGCCGTATTCGTCGCGGCGGCTGGTGAGCAGGGCAGAAATGCCGGCGCCGGCGAGAGCGCCCTCTGCAAGATGTCGCTTGTGGTGCGGGCTCTCGCTACGTTCTCGGCGCACGGTGCGACGGTAGTAGAACTCGTCGTCGTCACTGTGGTAGTCGGCATCTCTCCTTCGGCGGTCATATCGCGCCATGGCATAGTCTCTCTCCCGATCATTGCGATAGTAGTCCCCGCGGTAGGGGCCAACATCCCGCCGCCCATGGCGATAGTAGTAGTCGTCCTCGTACACGTCTCGGTCCCTCCGGACCATTTCTCGGTCCTCCCGCTCTCGGTCTCGCAAGACCACGACACCGGGGTTTTGCTGGCGGGGCACAACTATCGGGGCGGGTGGCGCGTCCTGCACGATAATCTTTTGAGGCTCCGTCGACTGCTGGCGGATGATGACGGGAGGGGGCGGAGGTGACTGAGGCATGTAGTATTCGGTTTCCTTGCGGTAGCGTTCGACATCGTGGCCGTGGTTGTCGTCGAAGCGTTCCTCGACTCGCTTCTCAACCTTGAGCTCCTCTTCGTTGTGGCCACGATGCGAGCGGCGGTCCCAGTCTCTATCGGTCTCCTTGCTCTCGTAGACGGTGATGCGAGAGCGGTCTGGCTCTCTGTAACTGTCGCGCTCGACATCTCTTTCGTAGTATGCAGTGCGTGGGCGATCGCCGGCATAGGGTTCAAAGGCCGAGCGCGGGCGGTCGGGCGATATTGGTCCACGAGCATCCAGCAGGTCGCCAGAGTTTCGCGCCGAGAACTTGGAGCGGCGGTCATCGTCGACTTCGATGCGCTCAGTCCGTTCAAAGCGCTCGCCGTGTCGTTCCGGCCCGACCTTGTATCTCGTCACCGTGGTCCGCTTGTATCGATCATCGTCCGAGTCACTCTCCCGGTAGTATCGGGACATGGTGTGTGTGAGAGGGGGATGGGGACACGGACCGACCCGTCGTCCCGTTTGTGAGGCGTCTTGGTTAAGCTTTAGTCTAAGGAAGTTGATGTCGACACAAAGGATGTCACGAAACAAGACGCAAAAAAGTGTCACCGGTAAGAGGTCTCCCAAAAGGCGAAGGAAGAAAAATGGAAACACAACAAAGAGGGGGGAAAGAGGGTTGATGACGAAACAGGGCTGTCCGTCATAGGGAAGAAGGCGGGAGGGCTGTTATTCGGATGGCTGGGCCCCAGGCGATGGGGTTCCCAGGTTGCACGTCAATGCACACACACCACACACACCCAACACTCTCTGGTTGAACAAGGTTGAACAAGGTGGGACGTTCCTTCCCTGCCGCAATCCCAGCGTGGGCATCAATCAACGTGAGGTGACCAGCGACCAGCTGAGCAAATGAGCAGATGAGCAGATGGCAGACGGGCAGGCGAGTGGAGACTTGGAGTTGGACCAGATCAGGCCGCGTTGCGCACCCAGCGCCATCTGCAACATCTGCCTGGCCCGGAATGTGCCTTGTGACAGGTGGCATCAATCCATGTCGTCTTCTATTGGCCCTTGGCTGGCCTTGTTCATCTGTTTCCCTTTGTCTGGGGCGGCAGACCGTGGACACCTACGTACCTAATCGAACTCCCCTCGCCTCGTGATGATAAAATAGATTAAAAATAAAAACCGAAATGAAAATTCGGCCAAACATCTTGACCCGTGTGGCATTGGTCAGCATAACACTGGCAATGGCAGGACTCGACGTGTTTTGGCTCAAATGCCGTGATCATCAGAGTGGCAATGCCTGCATGTGTCGATCCGCTTTTGCTTCCGCTTGCTCTAGAACACTCCACCGGAGCTCGTCAGGCTCTTCCACCAAAGTCACACCAGACAATACCACCAGGCTCTCCTCGCCACGCCACCAGCCCATCTTTGCCAAACATGCCCCCCCATCCATCGATTGGTCAATTATAGACTGCCCGAGGTGAAAGGCGGCGAGAAAAATTCTCACCTGCACGACGACTACGTCATTCTAGTATTGTCCACCGGCATTGCTATAGGGTAGCTTGGGGTCAACGGGTCGCGTGTGCACAAGCTCATTGAACTCCAAGCGGTAAATACAAAGGCTCAGGACATCAAGTCTAAAGGCAACAGCAGTATCTGCAGTGGGGCGCATCGCCTGCCTTGATCGGTCGTAACTTACTTATGTAGTCCACGGAAAGCTTCGTTTGGCGCTTGTGCTTTTCAAACAGTACTTGAGCGACCAACCCCGCCAGACGGTCTATTCCTGCTTTGTACTGTTGATATTCTCGCTGACAACTCAAGACCTTCTTAGCGCTATTTTCGTCTAACCATCCCATCAATGACCCGCGACAGAGTGCCCGAGTGGTTAAGGGGAGTGACTTGAAGCGCTAGGCCCGCGATGTGAGAAATCGCATTAGGAGTGTCCTAGCATTAGATATCACTTGGTTTCGGCCTCGCAGGTTCGAATCCTGTCTCTGTCGATTTTTTTGGGTTGAAGTTCCCGTTCATTTAGTAATTTTTTTTTTCGCCCGACCTAAAATAATAATCGACTCCTCTTGCTAGGAGCTTGCGATCGATTTTAGACCCTCAAGTGCTTCTTTGCAATATTCCTCCTCTCCTCACCAACTAGGCTCATGTCCCTAATATTGCGGACTTTCTGCACGCGCGCAAAATTGCCTCAACTGTGTATCGTGCCGCGGTAGGCACATACTAGGTATCTTTCCTTTGTTGACGCATCTGAATGGCTTAATACGGCTTAGCGTATGCCCAAGACGTAGGTCGGTCTCGATCACGAGGAACGACTCTAGCCTCACACCGATACAAGGAGCGACGCGGAAGACTTGATTCGCAGCTCCCTGTGCATGCATGTAAAGACCCCGACATACCTATTTTACTTGATGGTTGCAGGAACGTCTCCGGCTCCCTGTGACATTACAATTTTTCCATCTCACCAACATTCGTCTCACAACACAACACGGTCCCTCAGTCTCCCGTGCTCTGCCGCGCACACCCTTCCAATCACGATGGCTTCGTATGGAAGACGAATAAGCTACGAGTTTCTCCTACCAACTCAAGTCACCTGAACGAACAAAACTAGATGGCATGAATTGTGGACGTTTTGCACCGCGGGGTCCAATGGCGCGGCTCGTGGCGTCACGCAGCCAATGCAACACCACAAAACAGCCATATAACGCCATGTCACAGCACCTCGGCGGCGACATCCTCACCGAGCGTTCACCAGATGCTTCCCCATGTGCTCGCAAAACAGGAAAAAAGGGATGGACGCTTATCGTAGAGCCGCGAAAGGATCCGCCCCGCGCGACCTCAGCTCCGTCCTCGCGCCCAAGAAGGCCGGTAATCCGGTCGATAATCAGGATGCAGACCTCCCCCCTCCATACACCGAGCTTCCCGAGCTCTCCGTCCTCCCATCGTACCTGAGTGCCTGTCCGCTCAAACCATACCGACCGTTCCCCCACACCATCCGCGCCCATCACCGCCTCTCGCAGCTCAACTCCATCACGCTCGGCGGGCCGGACAAGGACCGGCTCTACTACGTCGAAGTGCACAAGGGCTTCCAGCACGTCGATCCGCTCGGCTACCGCGCGGGCGTGGTGCTGCGGAACGGGCCACGCAGCAAAGACGAGGTCCTGGCCGCCGCGGGCGAGGAGATGCAGTCCGCGCTGAGGATATACGCCGTTCCTTTGGGTCCGGATCCGAACAGCGTGTTTTTCCTGCCGCCCATGGAATTCGGCACCAACTCGAGAGCCATGACCATGGAGAGGATGCGGCCCGGGGTGCTGCGTAATAGGACGCGTGCGTTTACCTTCTTCGTCGAGGTTGAACCCCTGCGAAGCATGAGGAGGCAAAAGTTTGAGTGGGTGCAGGACACGAACGGCGAGTGTGTCAAGATGCCGGGCTTCAGGCTGGTGCGGGTCGTGGCAACGGAAGGCAAGGGGAGCTCCGAGTCTGACGCATCTACTTCTGCTCCTCGTTCAGCCGACGATGTCTACGGGGAGACCATTGCCACCCTCACGTTTCCGCATGCGTCCCTGGTGAGTCGGGAGGCGTTCACATTGTGCATGTTGGGGAGTGCCAAGGATGGGCGGTTAGGAGAGAGGTGCGAGATTGCTATTGTCGTGACGGCACTGCGGATTTGGAACTTTCATGCAAAGGGGCAGCTGGACAAGCCGCAACTATAATGTGTTTCAAACAAGGATCCGGGAACGGCTTCTTGCGAATGCGTAGCCGTGGACACGTGGCTGGCGCAGAATAGGGATGCGGGATGCTTATGGCGTTCATGTACTTGTACTTTTATAGTAATATATACCCTGGTTGACAAAGGACAGCGCAACTTGCAGCACAATCAACAGGACTGGTTCTACGCCGAGCCTCCTGTGTTGCCCACAATTGCCCTCTTGACGCGATGGTAGTAATGCGTAATGATTTAATCACCTGAGCATCGGTATTCTGCTTTGTTCTTTTCGTGGAGTCTGACAAGACTCCTCTAATGCTGCTCTCACAGCCCCAAGACAGCTGTCTCCAGGTCGTGCAAGGTTTGAATCCTTGGTGTATTACAGACTGCGCCTCATCGCGCTGAACATGGTTTTACCGCGTAAGTGTTGTACGTTTATTCGTGTACCGTTTTGCCTCGAGCAGAGCAATATCGGGTCAAGCTCGTGGATTAATTACTAGATTGGGTCGACAATGAAATTGGTAAAACCAGCACTGTTACAGCCAATGAGATTGTAGAATATACAATGTTTGGACAACAAATTTTTTTTTTGTTAAGTAAATTTTTAGTAGAAATAATCATACAAGTTCTAAAAAGCATCGTGCAAGCATTTTATCTGGAAACACCGTGTTTGGCCGTATCAAGCCGGAGAACCGTGAAATACCACAAGATACACTATATACGCATCGCGATTCGTCAGACACTAGCAATGTAATTGAAATGGCAACTATAAAGGCAGCCAAAAAAGCAGCTAAATAACACAGTCTTGTTAGTTTAGCCTCATCCCGGAGGGATACGTAAATGGTGTAAATTATTTTTTAATTAATACTAAATAAGTACCTAGGTAGTTTACTTTAATTTAATCTAACACTCGAGAACGCTCTTATTATATGAAGAGGTAAAGCTAGAAGCTGCAACTTGACGCTGTAATGGCTGACGTGCAGTTCCATGAAGTGACTTGAATCGCAGGCAAAGATGCGCTTTCCCTGATAAAACAACCTTCATGTTGGCACTGCTTTTGTGATTTCGGCACTGTGAGCGAGTGACCTGATGGTTGCGATGCCTGGATTCAAAGGCTCTCCCCCAGGCGAAGGAATCACTCTAAAATAAAGACGAGGCTGCTGAAGCCAATGCGTCAACCCAACTCAAGAGATTATTGCCTCCAGCCACATGCTGTGACAAAGCTGCCGCTTCATCAAGTCTGAACACATTGCTGCTACGATGTCTTATCGTCTGCACTGCTCGACTCTCCTGGCTTGGCCATTGGCGTAACTGGCTTTATGTTGGTCACCATGCAAACATGTAACTATTAAACTGACAACACACCAAAGCACGGTCAAGGATGTCAAAAAAAAACTGCTTAACAAACATGTTTGCGCATGGTGGACTCCAGAGAACCACCCCATTTTTGGCTCTTGGCAGACGTGTTATGAAGCGCGTGGACTGGCAATATATTCATCCAAGGATAAACCAGAGAAGGGTAAAAGCGACGAGTTGGCAACCATGTGAGCCCCTTTCTGCTCTGGACAGTCGCCGAAGCACTTGACCACGCTCTGCCAAGAAAATGTGCTGTCCGAGCCGAGACTGCAAGCCCGGCCTGCGGTCTGGGCAATGACCGCCAAGCGCCTGGATCGATGAAGAAGCCGCCAAGACGGGAGCCAAGACGATTGGCGATCAATTGATACGTTTGCGACATCCAAGGCGGTGAGACAACATGCCCGAGGGGGTGTGAGCAGGTGAAGCCCGTGTTTGCCGGATAGCTGTCTGTCTCGACTCGGCGAGTAGTTTGGATGAAAACGTGCTGTGCCAGACCACTTCGTACCACGTCTTCAACCACTATTCGAGACTGCAACGCAAATCTGTCAAACTATGCAAAGGCACCGGCCAGTCAACCTTGGCCAGATGGATGCAAGAACTTGCATCTCCACTGCCCGATGGGCGGCTTACAGATTTTTACACTCAACCACACATGTACAGGGGACTGCAACTGGTGAATGCCTCGGTGTTTGGGCTGGTTGCAAGACGGTCCTGGTATATATATATATATGTATACAGTGTTACTAGATGCCCTCCATCTAGCCCGTTTTTTGATTCTTTTCTTAAATAAGTTAATAAGTTCATGCATATATATATATATGCCCCTTGTCGTCCACATCAAACTCACCACCACACACCCATATACAAGAAAAATACAAGCCGCAAAATTGAAATTTTCCATCCCATGCGCCTCACGGAACCACTGGATCAAAGAAGCTCATCCACACAAACAAGCTCACGGCGCCGACCAGCAGCAGAATGGTCAGAACAGGGGGGGCCCCCGCCTTGCCGGCCGCCGTGACAGGCTTCACCGGCCGCTCGCCATTGTCCTTGCCGCCGGCGTTGGGATTCCCCTTGGAGGTGCCGCCCGTGGCATTCGTCACCGGCGGCGCCACGTCGCCGATGAGCATCGACGACACGGCGGCCAGCACGTCCATGGCCTCGCCCGCGCCGCTCGTCTTGTCCACGCGGGGGTCGATGAACTTGCCCTCGGTCCAGTAGAAGCCGCACTGGCGCCCGGACGCGCCCCCCGTGCACTGCCCGGCGGCGGCCTCGCCCGACTTGCGCAGCGGGCCGAGGATGTTGCCGGCCGTGTGCGGCGCCAGCTGCGTCACCACGGCGAGCCACCGCACCAGGTAGCCCTTGTACGAGAGCATGTCGGTCTTGCAGACGCTGCCGCCGAGGGAGAACTCGCAGGACAGCTCGTAGGCGACTTGCCTGGGGAAGAAGGACTTGAGGCACGCGTCGAGGAGGCTGTCCAGCCGCGTCTTCCACTTGTCGTCGCTGGTCTGCAAGTCTATGTGTAAGCACGTGGGATTTCCCCCGCCCCCAGGGGTGGTTTGGTTCGCCGGCTTCTTACATGGTTGTACATAAAGGCCACGCCCTGGATCAGGACGCCGGCGTTGTACGAGTACTGCGTCTTGTGGATGTCGGTGCAGTTGTCGTTGACGCTCGCGCCGTCGTACACGGCCCAGTTGTCGTGGTCGATGTACTTTACGCCCCAGAGCCAGTCCCACGCCTTTTCCGCCCTGTCGGCGTACGTGTCGTTGCCCGTGTACCGCGCGAGGCGGGCGCCCATGTTGAAGAAGATGCCGTTTGCGATGGCTGCGCGTCCGTCAGCCGGTATACTTGCCAGACTCTAAGGGAGGGGGGGGAGGCCACGCACTGTTCTTGTAGTCGTATCCCGCGTTTGTACGGGGAATCTGCCACCGCAGGCCGCCGTTGCACGTCTCGTCGTAGCGGCTCGGGTCGGCCTGCGTGTTCCAGACGGCCTGGGCCAGCTCGAGCCACTGCGGCTGGTCGGGCGGAGGGTCGGGGAACTTGTTCTCGGCGGCCAGCAGGGCCGACAGCCCCCAGAAGCCCTGGTCGTCGTTGCCGAGGGAGAGCGTCTGGTTCGGCGGCATGTAGTCCCTCTGCGGCCCGACCTGGAACAGCATGCCCTGCGTGACAACGTCGTTGTACGTCGCGTCGCCCGTCAGCTTCCAGTAATCAATGTACGTGCCCATCATGGCGCCCGCCTCCCACCAGTAGTAGTCGCCCGTGCCCGAGGCCGGAGGCCCCGGCAGGAGCCCGGGGATCTGGCCAGACTCGTTGCCGTGGTAGAACTTCATCAAGTCGTACGCCAGGGACTTGGAGGATGCGATTATGTTGTCTAGATGCTCAAACGGGGGGTCAGAACATGCCGGCAAAGGCACACATTGTCCGGGAGACAGTGCGCGGCAGGGCTCGCCATGGCTACTTGTTGTGTCATCTCGTACCTCTTGTGTCGACTTTGTACTGTGCCTCTGCAACGCCGCTGAAAAGAAGACTACTGGCGATGGCGACCAGCGCCGGCGACAACCGCGGTGCGACCATGGTTCGAGAGTATGTGATGGCCCACCAGCGGGTCGCATGCAAGGGTCGTCTCGAAGAAATCAAATAAAGGAGAAGAAATTATGCAAAACAAATCAATGAGTCCAAAAAATATGGTCAAGATTCTCCAAATCACGTTTAGGTTCGGAATGGAAGCCCACCCGTCGTCTCGATGCGGAGGGTCGACGACTAGCGCGGCTACGGCTGCAAACAGCACTCGTGTGGCGCGGCCGCGCAGATTTGGCCGTGCTGTACGCAGCTCGGTACGAGGGAGGCCAGGCGCGAATATATCTATTCCAACGAGTGTCGAGGGCTTCAGCTTGCTGGCCGTTTTTCCCCCACGTCACAGGAACCCGAAGAGTTTGCGGCCCCGACGACGACCCGAGCGGCGAGTCAGTCCCACCACATTCGGAAACCCGGGCGTTGCGGGAATCCAGGTCCTTGGGGGAAAAAAATCTTTCAAAAGGCCGGCGAATTCAGGGCGAGCTCGACGTCTCCTTCTCTTTCTCGTCGAGGCGTGTAGATGCTGGAGATGCAAAATTGGTCCCGAGACCGGGACCGCACACCCTTTTGCTTACAAGCTTTGGTCAGGAACGGCGCCTTCGTCACTAAACGACTGCCAAGAGCCGCCATGTGGGCGGGATGACATGTTCGATGCCAGGGTCATGGAAGGCAGATACGAGATTCTCGCTACAACGTAGCCCTGGGTGCGAGGGAATACGGCGCAAAGCCCCCAATTTCCGAAACGGGCATAAATCATCAGCACAGCCTCGGAAACCTCGGGTGCCAGGTGGATAAATGGATACAAGTGCAGCCCCGATGCTTAGTTCCGCCAATGAGAACCCAAGAGAGCCGCCCAAGACTTGGGGGTGACGTCGTGGTCACGGACTCACGGGGGGTTAGGTATCCTGCCGAGCTGTCATGTTCAACTTTGTTGGGCTTGACGGCATCCACTTGCAACTCGCGGGAGTTTCTGCATTCAGCCTCCCTCCGCCCCTGAGGAACTTGCGGGTAGCGGGTTTGCGCGCCGTGAAACATGCTCGGTAACAATTGAAAGCGTATAAACAACCCGTCTGGTCG